ATTATATGTATTATATTCATAGTTACTTTTTTCTTTTTGTAAAACTGGCTCTTGTACTTATGTGGGCACGAATACTACTTAAAAATTGACAATATTCTCTCTTTGAGGTACTGAGATGCTTGAACTACAAATAACTTATCTATTTCTATTTTGCCATCTCCACAAGAGAGAGACAAAAATCCAGGGTATAAAATAGTTCTGACAGTTTGGCTGGATGCCACTGTCCCATGCACATTTACAGAAAATGTCATGCTTTTCTCTTCCCAGGTTTTCAGGCACGGAACCTGACTGTTCACTCTAAATCTATCAGCTTTTTTCTTAAAAGTAACATTGCATTCCACCCAGGGTTTCTTTTTAAACTCTCTGGTGCTTGTGCTATTTGAGGCTGTTGGTGTTCAAAATCTGGTTTTAATCTTAATTTGACCAGAGGAAACTTGTGAAATGTTTTGAATAAAAAAATGGCTTAGTTTTATTGTATTTTCTGTCCATTCAGTTGCAATTTGAGCTAGCTCTTGCTTCTGTTCATAAGTCCTCAAAAAAAGACAAGTGCACATGTAGATAGACTTCACATTCATGACATATCTACATTCAGAAAACATATTTCTCAAGTTCTTCCCACACACAACCTCTGTGTCTCTTTACATGTTACTTTCGAGAAAGTTTGAATGTTAGATGTCACCACTTTGTAGTGATCTAGAAGAGATCATAAAATTATCTCCTAAAGGAATTGTACAGGGAATTAAACTGCATAAAATATTGCTGTAAAAAAAAAAAAAACCAAAACCATAAAAAAAAAGCAACAAACCCACAGACTTCTCCTAACAGTCCTTTTTTAAATTTAACTTTTGCTCAGAATTCTTCCTGTTGGTGATTTATAATCTAGCAAACTGCTGTTTGTTTTGGTCCACAATGTGCCTCTGCTATTCTGTGACATTCTCTTATTCTCAAAAATAATGTTTAAAAAAAAAAAAGCTTTTGGCTAAAGGGCCACCACAATTTCAAGGCATAGAGGGTAAAAGGAGTACTTCAGTGAAAGGGATTCAGGTGACTGAGAACTTCACACTGACTGTGAACTAGTACATGTACAAAAATTTACCAAATGGTTCTCTGTGCCCCTTGGATTTGTTCTTTTCCCTGTAGTCTGGGTATATCCAAAGTGCTTGGCATATCTATGTGTAAACAAGTTGAATAATGCAGATACTGTTTCCCTTCATCTGCGCAGTGCTGGTCGATGTGTTGTGGACTGGGTGAAAAGTATTCCTCTAGTCACAGGTGCAGGTAGAGGTCTAAACTATGCCTGATCATTCTATCCTTTGAATTGTTTCCTAGATTGAAGGGAGAATTATAGAGGATGCTGAACCACCAACTCCTCCAAACCCTTCTGGCGGATGTCCCATCTGTCGCTGGAACCTGAAGCATAAGTATGATTATGTGGTAAGTTTAATGATGTTCCCCTCTCCTCATAGCTAGATAAATGTTGTTTTCAAATTTCCATACTGGACAACTTGCCCGTCTCGTCTTTTGCTGGGTGTAGTAAAAGATAGTTAACTCCACCTCTGCTTCTCTTGGGTGTGACAAGAGCTTCCTACATAGTAATTGTTTGCCTTGGCTGATAGTGCTCCTGGGAAAAAGAAGGATGAGCTCATATCAAAGAGGAGGTTTGGAATTATACATGTGGCCATCTGATCTGAGAAAGCCATATATCTCTTTTGTGCCTAGCTGCCTTTCAGCATTGCACTTCCAGAAGAGTCAAACTGGAATGCAGCACTTAGTCTCCTGATTCGGGTCTGTTCTACCTCCAGAGAGGCCAAAAGACTTGACTAGATCAATTATATGTATTCAAGCACTACAGTTTCTCACTGGGTCATTGTCCACTGGTTTATGTAACTTTTAAAACCCTTGATGGGCATGAAGGAGATCATATGTGTTTACATCCCTTGCAACAGAAAAATAGGTTTGATTCAAGGTTTTTGCAGGAAATGCTAATGAGAGTATTACTAACACTAAATGTAGATGATGGGAGGGAAATCCTGTGATGCTTTAAAACAAAAGCACAACAGTCAATAACACTTTAGAATAAGAAGCGTGAGATAGAAGGCGCAGAATGTAACTTTACAACAGGTCATTCAAACACAGAGTTTACAAAAGGACTAAGTGCCCCCCTTGCAAACTGAAAACCCAGTACTGGAATTAGAAAAGAATAAAAACAGACAGGAACATGCTGTTACTAAGATAAGGCATCAGAAAACTCAGAGTAAGTTAATGTCAGTAGGATTAGGGCAAGAGAGATACAAATGCATCTGGTGGAAAAGAAATCTTTGTGAGAAAGAGAGTCCATTCATCAGAGGAGAAGGGGACTGAAAGCCACATTTGCTGCAGAGTGACTAAGCTGCTCACATGAAGTCCTAGAGCACACACACAAAAGAAAAATTATGTTTTAATATCTAGATGGTAGTGGCAATCTTGCAAATGTAAAACAATAGGAAAAAACAGGTACAGAAACAACTTAAGCATTGAAAGGTACAGACCAGCAGGCCTGGATTGCATGTAGCACCAAGATCTTAAGGGAATTAGCTAACAAATATGTTACTTCACTTGCAGGAATTTTTTTAAGCATGAAAAAAATCCTCAGGAATCACCAAATGGTTTGAAAATAGCAAGTGAAATACTAAGTAGTTGAGAGAGGAAGGAGAATGATGCTTATGATTACCCCTTGATAAATCAAATGATGCAAATTACAAGTGAAATAGCTTCAAATAGGAGTAAAAACAAATAACCTGTTCCATAGGACTACTTAAGACTCATGAATCACGAAGAACTTGAGTACAGAAGTAGCGCCAGACAAAATACTTGAGATTACTCCAGGCAGGTGAAACAACAGGTGTGAGATTGAAATGAAATATCTGTTTAGTATCTTTCAAAGCCTGTTTTGCAGTAATTAAATTGTCTAGGATCTGAGTGTTGTCAGTGATTCTGACTTGGGCTGGATGCAATATTAAACAGTGAAATAAGTTGGAGGCAGGAGGGTATTTAGTGTTGCCTGGTCTGGTTTCTCAACGATCTGGGAAAGCTAAAAATACAGTGAATTTACAAATGCTAATAAATTAGGAGAAATGGAAAATACCATTAAGGTATGGAAAGTACTGCAAAAACATAGTTTGTTTTGTGTTGCCCATGTTTGAATGCAGCAATTTCTTGCAGCTCTTTTTCTTCATGATTGCTGAATTGTGTTTTGATCAAAACAGACCAATCACACTGGAAAATACTTTCTTAAGGTTAATATAGTTTTACATGACTTTTAAATGCGAGGAGCCAACAGCATCATTAAACTGGGTAGTTCTACAGATTTCCAGAAAGCATTCCATGAGTCACACGTTAACAGCTCCAGAGAAACTATAAACTGATGCTCAGGGATTAAATGAGCCGTGGGAGTGCATTAGATCTTGGAAATTAATATATAGACTCGCTTTCTACTGCTGTCTGTGGTAGAAGACTCTGGTGCACATAGATATATTAGTGCCATGGAGAACCAAAGAAGCACTTCTAGATAATGGGATGCTGTAGAGTCTGAGTTCCAGAATTAGAAGCAGGCTGTTGGTCCCAACATACAGTGTAAAGCATAAGTCTTAGGTGTGTTTGTAGAGTGAACTAAGGTTACAAGTTTTCTTCCACACTTCATTTCACTTTGATTCTAAGATCCTGGTTTCTACTGTTCAGTATGGAGGCAAGAGAATACCAAATGTGAGGAGAGGTCCTGCAGCGAGTCTTGAGAATCATTGCTGAGATTGTTCCTGAGAAAATGTGGTCCTGAGAGACAAACTAGGAACATGTCCATCCAGTTTTTGAATGCATATGCACCTGCTGTATATATATCCAGTACTCCTGCTGTACAGCAGAGGAGAACCCAGACAAAAAGCTAAAGAGAGCAGTGTGAACTTGTATTTCAGAATTGTAGATGTTTCTTACCTCAGTATTTAGAAGCATTCCTCTATGGGGCTGATGAGAACTAGGAGAAACTTCAGTTCTGGAATAGATCACCTCTTCTGCTTGAATAAGTCCCTTATATGCTTTGTTCCAGTAATGGATTTTCAGGCTTTTGAATGTTAAGGTGAATAAAATCTCCCTTTTCCGCACAAAAGCGCTCTGGTTTTTTTCTTTGCTGCGGAGTGATGAGCAGCAGAATCTTGAAATGCTTAAATAATAAAGTGCAGGCATTTAACTGTGTGGGTAATTAAATAGTGGTACAATTTACTCACTGGTGGTTAATTGTCCTAAACGTCCATAAATTGAGAACAGCTATTTTTGTTAAATATCTAGCCTAGTTCATACAGCATAACCTATAATCTGTGCTTGGTAAAAGATCAGAATAGATGGATCACAGTGGTTCCTTTCAGATTGATAAGCTGAGCTCAGGCAGTTGCACAGAAGGGAAAGCACAAGACTTTTTTGCTTGGGACGCTTGTAATTGAGTGAATGAGGCACTATGAAAAGGGAAATGTTGAATTAGCCCCCGAGGGAGCTGAGTAATATGACCTCATAGGACTTTTCTTTTATCATGTGCAACTAGCACAGTCTAAAGTAGTGGCATAATGAGTTACTTGGGCTGTCAGAGAACCAGGGGGGACCAATGTCTCCAAAGTTATTAATCAACTGAACAGGCATTGTGAGCGCTAATGGGTCATGATTCCAACCTGCCTCAGCTGTGGTGTGGAGGGCTGCAGTTGTCTGTGCCAGTTCAGTCCTTAGTCTTTGCTGAGGCTCAGGATAACAGAGCCTAAGGTACAAATTCCCACAGTTTGTGGTCTACGTGTGTCTGTCCATTGAAACTGAGACCTCCGTTGATTTTTATTTTTTTCGTGTCTATTGGAGAAAAAATTATTTTGGTAATTTTCAGGACGCAACTGGATGAAAACCTACAATTCTGTTATGAAATGCCTGGAGAATGGTCTACAGCTCCCAGGAGCAAGGGAGAAAGGAAAAACTAGACTCTTGTATAACTGGAAATAATGACTGGCAGACTTGTCTGATACAGCACAGTAGTAATTTAGCTATACAGACAGAGCTTTTCTTGCAGTAAATGAAGATTTTAATGAATTGCATGTCACCAGTCAGGGATCCTGCTTTCCAAAGTGTTTGCAAATATTAAAATGCAGAGATGCCTCTGCATTTTGGTTGCCATCCATTCACAAGAATGTGTTGTACATAGTGTTTCGTTTAGCAAGTTTATCCAGCCCTTTTAGAGGTGAAGGCTAAACTTGTTTTTCATTTTCCCCCTTATCCACTTCAAACATCATTAGTCTGAGTAGGCAGTAAATATGTCATCTTGCTTTGGCAGCAATTAGGGAAAACCAAACTGCAAACTTTGCCTGTTAGCCCTAGATTAATTCAATCCAAGTTGTTTTCATCAAATGCTGCAGATTACAGGGGTGGGAATCTGGGTCCAGCCTCGTGGGAGCTGTCCAGTGATTAAAGCAAATCCGTGGTTACAGGCTTGGCTGTCCACTAGCACAAAATGTGAATTTCATGGAACATGACGGCACCATGAGAACTTGCCAGACTTTTTTTTTTTTTTTTTGACCGCTCCACATATTTGTTCACTTCCCTCCACAGCTGCCCCATAAAGTTGGCTGTACCTGTCTGCTTTCTCCCAGTGGTAAAGACGCATCTGTGCGAGTACTCTGGGAGAGGCACCTGGCCTGTTAACTGTGGGGATCTTCAGAAATGGACAAATCTTCTGTAGAGTGTGCAATGTTTTAAGCCAAACAGCGTGAGTGTAATTTGGAGCTGCAGCGGCTGGGACATAGATGATTTCAGTTAAGAAATTACCGCCACACAAGGGTGTTGGTCAGATGGTGACACTGTTGGTCAGAGATGGTAACAGAGAACTGATTTTCCTGGTATGGTTTGTTGGGTTTTTTTTTTCCCCCACAGGGAGAAAAAGAAAGACTATTTCCCTTTGCTTCCCATCTCCCCACTTTGCATGGAAACACTTGATAACAACCCTCTGACTCCATGAGGCGTGGTGGTAATACGAGAAATCACTTGGACCACACACACCCTTCACAAGAGCCTGTGGCCTACTTAGACTTTCACGGCTGCAATGACTGGAACAGCCTCAAACTTGCCGTCAGCTCCCTTTTTCCTCTTCCCCACTGCAGGCTAGTAGAAAGTCTAGGAAGTTTTTCTAGGCACTTGGAGCTGGACAGCCCTTTTTCACTTAGGGAAATTATATGTTTGTGCTAAATGGCAAATTGAGCTGTTGGTGATTTGGAGAGCTGGATGGCTAAAGAAGAGGGAAAAAATGGGATGGAGTCTTGCTCAGGTTCCCTGAATCCAATCCAGCGCATTTCAGGAGTGGCTGAAAGTCAGTGCCCTTGGACTGTTTGGTTGGCCTCCATCCAGTTTCCACCAACACAGCTGGCACCAACCGGTCCCCTGGTTCCTGTTCTCATTGGCAAGGCCATGTGCTAGCTGGGCTGAGGACACTTTGCTTCTGTTTTAACCACAGACGGCCTCTCAGGAGCTTGTCGCTAGTTGCTCAGCTGTGCTTTTCTTGTTCTTTGGATCCATCACTCTGTATGGTGGTGAAGAGGTCATTTGGTATCAGTGAGAAGTTGCCTAACCTGCCCTGTTTTCAGAGGAGCTGGATCTGAAAATCAGTCTGAACAGATTCATTGTAGCCAAGTGGAGGCAGAAAGGAAGCCAGATAAGGGAAGAGGGAAATTGTGTGTCATGATGATATTACTGAAGGTGGGATTGAAGGCGGGGAGGGGCAAGGACAAAAACCTCAAAAACCCAAACCAAACAAAAAAACCTCAAAATATTGACTGCAACACTTGTATGACAGCATCTGTCAGAATTGGTCATTACCAGAAAGCCACGCTGGATTCCAGCAGTCCCCTTCAGAGCTGAGCTGGCATTGTACAGATGTATAATTCCTAGATAGCAAGTTTTATTAATATTCATTTTATATCCACTTGTGATGGTTTGCTTTTGCAAGGGCAGTAAACAAAGCTAGGAATGCTCCAGGGAGCTCTTTTACAAAGAGCAAAGATGGGGAGAGGGGGTGGCAGGTCTGTGAACAACAGGCAGAGTCAGGGTCGCCCAAGGTGAAAAGCAACAAGTCCACTTTGTTCTTGCCCTAGATGGGGGGGTTCAAAGTGCTGACGTACCTGGTTTGAATTCTTGTTCTGTTGGGGTGCTTGCTGGTAGGTCCCTTCCAGCCTGCAGGCAGCCTCTGTTCAGTCCAGCTACCTCAACTATGAACATGTTTATAACAGCGGTGGAGAAGTAAACTTTCAACCAGCAACAAGCCTATCAACAGAGGGGGGGAAAACAAGCACAAAGTCTCCAGAGGCCCTTTGGGCCAACTTGTGCTGATGTCAGCATGTCAAGGGGACCTGCCTAGATTGGCCCGAGAGAGACGCTTGCAGGGGTAGTGTGTGTGGAGATGGAGAGCACATATCTAAATACTGGGCTGTTGTACTGTCTACAGTTAATGGGACATTCCTGCCACAGCTGTTGCTGCTGTGTTTAAAAATTTGTCATCCCAGCTCTGTGATACTATCTGATCCTAGAGATTCCTTTAACTTTGTTTTTATTAAGAGTGCTTTATATTTCCAGAGCTCTTAATTTTGAAAGGTCAACAGCAGTGTAATCTAAATGATTCTTGAATCACAGGTGAACCCTTGGCATGCTCTGAGTGTTCCTTCCATCCAGCATGGCTGTAACAGCCCCACCTCACACATGCACCGTTGAAGGACTGAAGGTAGTAATTATCCTGTTAGGTCTTTCTCATTGGCAAACGTTCTTTTCTTACAAAAAGCTTCTTCATGCAAGATCTTGGACCATTTCCCTGCCCTCCACCCCTCCAGAGAGACATGAGGGAAGTTCTACCATGGGAACCTGGACAGAGTTTGAGGAGTAGATAGCAGAGAACAATCGTGCTCTGAGGGAACAAGGAGGAGGCCAGAGGTGATCTAACATATCTGTGACCTTTAGGATAGCAGCTGTGATGGCATTTCAAGTTGTGTAAACACTGTCCATCTGTAGGTCTTGTGTAACTGTGCCTGAGTACCTAGGACACATTATCTTAGCTCAAATCTTGGAGCAAGCGACAGTGAAGTAGCAGGGATTGTAGCTGACATCATGTATTTACACTAGTGAAGTCAGGGGAAGACTCGGACCATCTGAGTGACCTTACTGAGCTAAGCTGGCAGGCGGAGTGTCAGCAAGCAAAAGCCACTTGTTGTCAAGCTGCAGCCAAAATGCGTAGGAAGGAATCATTGTTTTGCTTTGCTTTGTTTTGAGTTCTGTACACAGTGCGAGGGTCAGCAAAACACCTAAGAATCACAGCAGTTAAAGTAGCTGTAGCACTGATGGTTTTGCCCTTTTCTTGCTCTCTCAGGATGTCTTGCTGCTGAGTCAGTTTATCCGCTCGGATGGAGGGATGCTGCCACGAAGGATCACAGGCCTCTGTTTGGAGGAGCACAAGAAGATTGCTGTCTGTGTGCAGATGGCTCACCGTGCAGGTACCTAGCCTCCCCCTAAGACAACCCCTTCCTGTGGGGTATGCATAGAACCCCTTGAGAGATGTTCCCCACCCAGTTATCATGGCTCAATGGGATGTCATTGTCCAGTGACCAGCAAACTCGTTACAGTCCAAGTGCTGGGACAGGATGATGGACCAGAGACAACTTGTTCTGGTTTCTATGTGTCTTGCATCCTGCCTTGGCAGCAGACATGTATCCCTGTAGATGGGTTTACTGCTGCAGAAAGGTCTGAGAAGTAGCTCAGTCTCTAGTAACTAGCGATTAAATACCAGCTTCTGAAATTACTCTATTTCATGTAAGCTTGACCTACTGCATTAATAACATGCACCCGTCTACCATCTGCCATGTGAAGACTTTTTCGCTTTACCCTGGAAGTGGGACCCAGGTTGACACAGAGTATTGTGCTGACCTTTATGCCTGGTGCCGGAGTTGTATCCAAGTTAAATGGACTAAGAATTTTAATTGTCAGATTTTCATCCTGGAGATGGAATCTGATTGGACACCAGTGCACTCTGTCCTCTCAAAAAGCCTCTTTGATGAGCCCAAGTGGCTGTTCTTTGGTGTGTATTTCCTCTCTATAACCAGCAGAACCTCCTAGTTTCTCTTTGGCTGGGGAGCAGGAGACTAAATACCCTTTCTACTGTACTTGAGTTTCTGCTGTGCTGTCCCAGTAGAGACCTGGGTTGCCTGGCTTAGGAGGGGTGACATAACTTCTGGATGCTACAGAGGCAAGGAGGCACTGCAAAATATTTTCATGCCTTTCTTTTTTCTGTTTCAGGTTTGTTGCCAAACCACAGGCCTCCACTTCCTGAAGGGCATATTCCCAAGAAACCCAAGCTCAACAGGTGAGTAGTCTTGTCTTTCCAAATCTTTTTTTTTTTTTTTTTTTTTTTTTCTCAGGAGTGGATTGGAAGACAAAAAGCAGTTCCTTATAACTGGATAAAACATGCCTCAGGCAACAGGGCTCATAAAGAATACTCAGAGTACTCATAGCATTTTGGAGAAGGAAGGTCTGTCATGATATTCTCAGTCTTTTAAGGACAAACCACATCTTATTCAAACCATATATCCACACAGGATTAAAACTGCCACATATCTTAGAGTCTGCCCTCCCTTCCTCAGCTGCACTCTCCTCCTCATCACTAACACTGAGTAGAGCAGTCACAGGAGGATGCCATAGAGTTGGGAGTCACAGCATCACAGAGTAGTTGAGGTTGGAAGGGGCTTCTGGAGACTGTCTAGTCCAAGGCCCTTTGCTCAAGCAGGATCACCTAGACCAGGTTACCCAGGACTCTGTCCAGTCAGGTTTTCTATATCTCCAAGGATGGGCCTTTCACAGTCTTTCTGGACAGCTTGTTCCAGAGTACCACCCTCACAGTGGGACTGTTTTCTTCTATTCAGACAGAATGTCTTGTGTTTCAATTTATGTCCACTGCCTCTTGTCTTGTCACCAGGCGCAACTGGGAAAAACCTGGCTCAGTCTTCCTTACGCACTCGTTTCAGTATTTGTAAACATTGGTAAGACCCCCCTCAGCCACCCCTTCTCCAGGCTGAGCAGTCCCTTCTCTCTCTGAGCCTTTTGATGCCTGGCCCCCAGTAGCAGGAGGGTGCCCAGGAAGGAGTGCCAGCCAGTGAGTGGGGGGCTGAGCAGCCAGCAAGGGCCCATAACAAGTCTGTTCCACTCTGCTCCAACCCCATTTCCCCCAGTCAGCGATTTGCCCTCTGCCTGCCCTTCCTGTGCAACAGGGTCTCTTCCCCCTCCCCAGCCTGAATGGCTCCTGGCCTTTGGTGGGCAAAGGGGAAGCCTGTAGCTGCCTCCTGCACTGTGCTGGGTGCTCCGAGGTGCTAATCCCCTGTTTATGACCTCACACTCTGTTTCCATGGGGATGTCAGAGCAGTTTATGAACCTTGCATTAGCAAGCCATGAGGTTACCAGAGGCCATGGGGCTGTTGCTGGGAGAGCTTAGGCTGCAGGGCTGGGGGCAGCCAGAGACTCCTGCATTTCAGGTCTGACTCTCTACAGTGGAGATTTGAGGCAAGATCTTGGAAACATACTTTGGATACTGGCAGGCTGTACACTGGGTATCTGAGGATCACATTAGAGGGCTCTACATTTGATGCAGCTCTGTAGCCATCAGATACTTCAACTCCAAAAACTTCTTCTTTCCTGTGTCTTACAAGTCTTTGGGATTCTTCAGTAGTTCTGTCTATCTAGCAGCTGTGGGGTGGAGCATGTTATCTAGTTAGCATTCATATAGCAACCCTGCATAGCAGGTTGAGACAGGAAATGATAAATCCTGTATCTTGCTGAAATCACACCAGGACTCCAGATCTAATGCCCTGAATCTTACAAATTGTTCCATAGACTTCTAGTGAGAACAAAGAACAGATACCTCCATATATGTTCTACATGTAAGGAAGTGTGCTACACTTCTAAAATTAAGTCATTTAAATTGGAGATGAGTATCCAGGCCCTCCCTATTACATTGTTAGTCCCTCCCTATTACATTGTTAGTCCCTCCCTACACCACCCTTGTTTTTTTTTTCCGCCCAGCAAGGGAACATAGCAAGCAGGGTGGAAACAGAGTTTAGAAAAAGAGAGCAGAGCTGTTGCTGAGGCGATGGAACAGCATTGAAATAGGCAGGCTTTGGGGTCTGGGTGTGGAACTAAACAAATGAGTCCCAGAGCCAGGATAGAGTGCAGGGGTACTTCAGGAGTGCTCTCCTGGTCCCTCATGATACTGTCTTCTCAGCCCGCTGGAAGGGGAAAGCTCTGCATGTTGGAGCCTTTTAACATCTTGGCAATTGCAGTCCTGTGACAGTTTTGACTGTGTTTACCCCCAGCTGCGCTTCCCGCATTGCTCTCTGGAACAGTAGCTGGCACCACCTGAGGCAGGAGATATGAATTGCTTCCTTCCTCTAGCCTGACGGGAGCACTGAAGGGTACCCACGTGCTGAAGACATTCAACCAGTACTTATTTTGGGAATGAAGCTCTTATCAAAAGTTTCCCACATAAATTACTTGTCCAGGCTTACCTTGTCTTTGCCTCTGTACTACTTCCTCAAGCTTTCTCTAAGCCTGTAGTAATTCGGGCATCACTCAACCAGTGGTGCTGCCGAATGCAAGTGAGCTGGCAGGGGAGGACAGGGGCAGAATTGGGCTGGGACTTCTGAGTGGAACAAGCTACCATGTTCAGTGCCATGAGAACATGACCAGGTCATCCTCTGATCCTGCAAACCTCAGCCTGTCTCTTCACTACATTGGTGTCTGCTGGTGTTTTTAAGTGTTAGGAGGAGCTCTGTGGCTCCTGGGCAAAGGTGCTAAGGAAGTACATAAAGAAGTGCTGAGGAGCTATGTTATTGTATACTTTTGAGAGCACCAGAAAAGAAAAGCTGCTCCTCAGCTTTTCCTTGGTGCTTACTCAGTGATGTTTTCTAAAAAGCAGAATCCCTGCTCTGTTTTCTGAAGTGGTTTTATTTTGTCTCCATTGTATGAACTTTGGACCTTTCCTCCTACCTGCCCCAGATTACTCTGCAGAGAGGTAAGAATTTCCCTGCTTTGCACTGAGTCACTTGGCAGCTGGCCTCCTGTCTGACCCACTCCACCTCCCGATTCTGTTTCTACTACTGGAATGCAAGAGGACGAGCAGAATCCTGGGAGGTAGTGGCCTGCAGATCCCACCTTCTTCTTGGTCATCCAGCTGTCTAGCGCACTATGGGATTGCCCATCCAGGAGGTAATATAACACAGAGCAGGAGACTGGAACTGTAGAAGAAAGTGTAACACAAAAGTGAAATGCCAGTTTGGGCCCAGCTGTGTGGTTCTGGCGTTGGTAGGAGATGAATGAGAATACCTTGTGGTCAGAATTCAACTGGGGAGTGCTCCACAGCTCTCTCTTCTATCCCCTGCAGTTAGGACACTGTCCAGGTGAGAGTTACCCTGGTATTCCTCATTTCTTGGACTTTAGTTCTTTGCTTTTTTGCTTTCTGCCTGATTATTTTTTTTTTTTTTACAATGATAGGTCATGAATGTTATCACTTAGCTGCTTTACTAGCTCTGGGTGCTTTTGCAGAAATATGGCTGTTTGAGTACCCACATCATCCATACACTCTTGAGTCTACCATCCTCCCCCTCTCTTCTGTATCATTTGTCTGCAGAACTTGGACATGGAAAACCAATGAAGTTTACCCCCATCAATGCAGAATTACTCCCTACAGTTCATTTTCTCATGTTTGGCCCAGTCTAGGGCTCTCACTGTTTCCAAGGGATGATTCCACAAGCAAATTTGCAGCCAAGGATTGTTCCATCATCTTCAGCCTGAATTCTCCCTTTCATAACTTCCCGCTGTTATTTCTATGTCCATTTGTGCTCCAGCCTGGCATGTTCCGGTTAAGTGCTGCAGAAACAAAATATATTCACTAGCCCACGAGCCCAAGGAAGTTCTCAGGGACTTTACCCCCACTGTGCAGTGTGACAGACTGGTCTCTTATTCCAGAGTCATGCGTGCAAAGCCACCACGCACCAGAACCACTTGGGAAACAGTCAGGCATAGCTGCAGGTCAGACTTCTAGCCTTGCTTTCAGGAACAGAAACCTGAATAGCTCATCGGTTTTCTTTCCAGCATGGAAGTTGTCACATGGATCGTGTGGACCAACGCTGTATTCAGAGCAGTCACTGACTTCAGGCCAGCATCTAGCTGCTCTCTTATTGTGAATATAGCACTCATTTTCTTCTGGCAGGTCCAAAATATTGCTTAAAACACACCATTGTGAAGTTGTTCCCTTTCCAAAAGGACCAAGGGATGTCACAGGTTCCCTGATGAGTCTGGGCTCTGACAGCAAGAGGTGCTGTAGATTATGGAGTACTTGATTTTGAGTGTTCAGCTGCCACTCCATTTTCAGCTTCCTACTGGAAGAACAGAACTTGGCACAGATAATATCCAAGTCAGTCCCTCCTCCATCACCTGAACTGAAGAAGTTGTTAAGTGTTAGGAAAGAGGCATGTTCCATACGAACGCCTCATGAATTACAAAGTTCTCAGGCTCTGTGGACACCTCTCATCGCTGGGAGCAGAATCTGGTTTCACCGCTATCAGCATTTCACTCCAGCAGCATGTGGTTTCTCTCATCTGCATGGAAACTGCGCTGTGCGTAGCATGTGAATTCAAAAGCAAGGAGCCAGAGTGGCTGCAGGTGAGCAAAGCCAAGAGGTGTCACGGGAAGGGATGTGGCAGGGAGGAGGCAGTCTTGCCAGCACTTTGATCGAGTGCTTCCTGCAGTCTGTAGCCCTCTGCCTTCTGCTCTTAATCCAAACAAAAACCAGACTGAAGAAGTTCAGTGAGGGTTCAGAAGTTCAGCCTTGAACTGCACCAGCATGCCCTTTGCTTGGGCTGCGTGCAGGACTGCTGTTGCCCCGTGGGTCAGTCATTTCCCTTACCCAGTACAGGGAAGCCCTGTGCTAGGTGTTAAGCAGCAGCCCCTGAGTGGGAAGGCTTTGGGGCCCTCCTGCTCACTGAAAAAAATCCATGGAAATGGACTTCCACGTGCTACCAAGATTTGAGGCCATTGCAATGACTGCAGGTGACTAACCACACTTGTTTCCATCCTGTTTATATCTTGCCTTGTTCCCATCAGGGAAATCCCACTGGGATTCCCATCACGCTTTATCTAAACTACTTATTTGTGCAGCTGGAATCTAGGGATTCTGGTTGTTGCCCAGGATCCTGCTGTACTCAAGGGGCCAAGCAGAACCCTGAGGTGGGTTGCCAGTGCCTGAGATTGGCAGTTCTGACAACCCTCAACCAGGTGAGGAAATTCAGACCATCTGCCACTGACTGTTGGTAGGTTATTGTAAAAACTCCCGAAGACAAACCATGTGGTTGGATACAATGGAAAGTTGGGTGAGGTGGCTAGAAAAAGGGGTACACTACCTTACATCAACAGCAGAGTTTGCAGGAGACTCCTGTGTGCTGGGCTTTGAAGCTCTTATTTGTGAGTTTTGTAGATTGTTTTTACTCTCAGGGAAAAAAAAAAAAAAAAATCTGTGAAACGGTAGGGACTGAGGTTAGTCAAAGAGGAAAAGGAACTTTGTAAACTGACTGCTCCCAAGCATCAGGCTTTTGCCACTGCTGAATCAAAGTAAAAAATAAATAAATAAATAAAAAGAGGCAGCAAACAAAATAGGACAATTTTGAGTTTGGGACAAAGCAAGTATTAAAAGTGCTAAAAGCAAATATGCTCCAGGAAGGGAAAGCATCCAAATGTCTGTTTCAGCTAACAATGAAAAGCCCCAGCCTGCAGTCCCCAAAGGAAGCCAAAAGCCTGGACCAGAGGGCTGGATTAGACTTGCTCAAAAGAGAAATAACAAAAGCTTTAAAATCAGGCCATTACTAAATCCTCCTTCCTATGCAGAATTGGGGTGTGCACTTCCAGCCCCCCAGACAGAAACAGAGGGATTTTTCTTAAAAAGCCACTGTCTGTCTAAACCTGCACACACCATTGATGTGTATCTCACATTCACACATCACTTCTCTCCCAGTGAGATCATTTATTATCACGGGAGTGCTTTCCCGTAAGCGTGTGGACACGTGACCAGAACTGCACTGGGCACACTATAATGCATTAAAACAGTTTGGGATTTTTTTTTCCTCCTTTGGTGTAAGTAGTCTTATGATATCAAAACTTGTGCTACAGACCTCCCCTTGTAGCAAGGGGAATGTGAAAAGAAGAACCTAGCCCTGTCTGCCCGTCAAATACCCCTACAGCTTCTCCCAGAGGAACTGCCTTGCTAAGATTCTTTGCCAGATTCCAAACTGGAGACCTGCTTTTGGACTCTCTGAACTCCCCTTGCATGTGAAATTAGAGACAGGAGAGTCTCTCCTACTTCCTGTCTTGATGTGGTTATGTAAGGGATTCCGCTAATGCACTAGCATGACATTAAAGGTCAAAAGGGACTAATTTAATGCACACATAGGAGAACAAGTGGCTGGATCTTGCTCTACGCCCTCTCCCAAATCCTGCCTGCTGTTGCTTCTAGGTGCTTTCACTATTGTAAACTCTAAGCAAGAGCAAAGCATTTTGGAAGTGGCTTAATTTCAGTGGCAGGAACCTCCAAATGCGATTCATTTTTCAATTTGTGCTGTTGGGGATTGCTGATGAAGAAAAGTGCAAGGAAAACTGGCTGCTGTTATCCAGCCTGTAGCTGCCTGGCATAGCAAGCTTTCTTTGTAGTTCTCAGGAATGTGCCAAATGCCTTCAGATAAATGCATTACATGGTCTCTGTCCAAAGTTCTTAATATTTCAAATTTGCACGATGCAAATAAAAGGTAACAAAGCCGTTTGGGGAGAGGATGACTGATCGAGTACATTAAGACCATGGGATTACTCAACGGAGGCATGCAAACATCGCTGGACAAAGTTTATCAGTCTGTTCCAAATTCTAATTTGTTGGAGCATTGTTTGTGCAGATTGTGCTAGGGTTTTACTTTGGATCTTTATTGCCTGAAAAGACTCCTCTTTCTTGAAGGACCTCTATTCCCCTCTCTACTGGTAGCAAAAGATTTAAAGCCTAAGAAAACTCCAGGCCACCCAGCCACAGGGTAAGGTTTCCAGTAACTGATTCTGGATCTGAAATCCCCTGCCTATTTGCAAAGCCAAGTCTAAAACTTCAAATGGTAAAAAGCAGAGGATATTTGCCAGATATTGCTCTTCATGGAGATTTGTAGTTGTGATGATAATTCCGTCCTCGTACTTCTTACATTGTAGGTTCTGACTTCCTGCACCAGCAAGCTGCAGTAGTACTGTACAGAGAATACTAATTGGACATATGAAAACACAAGAGTAGGCCAGAAACCTATCCTAGGCAGCAGAAATAACCAATTATCCTCTGAAAGTAAACGAATCCCTTTTTAGAATCTTTATTTCTCGCAGAGTTTAGTCTTTGTAACTAGCTTACCTTATTGAGGCCAGCTTTTGAAATAACACCTCCCACAGAGGAGTCTTGGACTGAGCTGCAACACAGCGATTTGGCACTCCAGTTTAGCTGCAGGTGGACAACTTGCCAGCAGCATGGAGACTACACCTGATTTGTTTTGTGGAACGGGAAGTCAAGCAGGTGCCAGTGGGTTCGGTACAGAGGTGCAGTGTAGGAGTTCCAAAACAGACAAAACTTCCTTTCCAGTGGTCCCTTCTGAATTGAGGGAGCTCTGCTCACAGTTATTCATTTCATAAAGAGGCATGTGGGGAGGCAAAGGCTACAGTGCCTGCTCCTGCTTCAGTTGGAACCTTTTCTCAGTGATCAGTCCCAAACTGAAATGCATTTGTGTTGTTTTGACAGGTATCTGACTCGCTGGTCCGTTAGATCCGCAAAGCCCATCTGGAGGAGGGGCCCTAAGTGGTGCAAAAAAACCATGCCAGTCGGACACCCTTTGCTGAAGGACAACGTCAAATATACACAAAAGCCTCTCTGTTTAAACCACTAGTGGCCAGAACTGGCACAGCTGTTTTCTACTGTTCTGCTTTTTTTGCAAGTTTGTCAGTATCTCCAATTTTCTTTTTCCAAAACTGTCATTAGTACTTGATATTGTCTCCAGTGAATGAGCTGCGATCTGCCCCTCTAGGAAAATACAAGACTCAGCAAAGTTCAGTGTGCAGAATGATTTGGAGAAAGCAGGGGGCAAAGACTTTTGCCTCAAAGCCAGAAAATATATGAAGGCTTTTGTTTCATCATGGTCCATGACTGGGTTTGGAAAAGGATGTTTCCTTCTTTTTCCAGCAATGAATGGTGATTCCCTACTAATGTGTGTTTCGACTCAGGTTTGCATCATTTGGGCTTTTGTACCTGTGACATTGATGGAAGAAGTCTCATGCAGCAGTTTTTCCTTGGCACTAACAGAAATTATTATTGACTCCTGAAGTTATTTTTTTATAATCTGTACTATCCATAATTTGCAGCAGAACATGTGTGGCCGTGGCAGACAGGCATGTGTGCATCTTATGTCCCCTTAAGGATTCCTGGCTTGTGCTTCGCTCCTGGATCTAGCAAATACAGAATGTTGACATCCTTGATGACTTGGCCTGTTTTTTTCCCCTTGCAAATACAGTTGCCATAAGTCTTCCATGTCAGTGATATGGCTTCTTCCTGGGATAGTTTGGGGCTGACAGATGTGCATAATTTTTCATCCTGTAACTAAAAGGTGACACCATTTCTCTCCCTGTATGGTATATCTACACACCTTCCACTTACTGACCACTGCTACTTGAGAAGTGCTACTCATTGGCCTGCTATGATATAAAGCTCATTAGATTTATCAGGGCCATTATTGCTTTGGTTCCATTTCTTTGATATTTATCTGGGGACTACAAATCATCACAGCTTTTTTATGTACTACTATGCCACTTAACCTTGTGCTGCTTTCATCAGAATCATCTGCTAATACCTATGGGCATGGAGAGGAACAAAGGGTAAGGATAAGCCCATATTACCCAGGAAATCAAATTAGATTAGAATGGTTCTTTTTAGCCTTACTTTGTGAAATGGAAGCCCTACATTCAGCCCTTTGAGCTGGCCAAGGTCTTTTTGTTTTGTGAGACAGAGCCAACACTTCATTAACTATACTGAGATAAAATCTCTGGCTGGCTGTCTCTATTTTATGAAGCTTTGAAACCTACAACCCTTCAGAAAGGAAATATTTTTCTTTCTCCTCCTACATAGAGAAGTTTTACTATGTCTTCTAGCCCAGGTAGCTCTGCTCAGTGAGCTTTACTAATGGAAAAGTCACGGGATTAAGCCATTGCCTTGAGATGAACCTGAATGAGCACATTTTGCGAAAGACCAGGTGGTGCCCGCAGTTAATTTTTTTCTACTGTCTAGTGCCATGAGCTGGAAAGACACCCTAACATCTGAAAAACAAAATACTCTCCTCTCTTCAGTACGCCTTACTGGAGTTCAGGATTTAGTAGAGATCCCTTACAGTACGCATCAGCTTTCTACTCTGACTCCAAGGCAGAAACTCTATTTTTGTTTGTCATTCATGGGTGACAGCCGGCATTCATTTGTGTTGCCTCCAAATGAGTTTTTGTGTAAGCATGGTGCCTTTGTAATCAGACAGATGGCCTAGGTTTGATTTCTGACCTAGGGCTTTGCCTGTCATGGATGAAAATGCCATTTGTTACTATCTAAAGGATCTGCAGTGACACATTACAGGCAATTCGATCTGGAGTTGAGGGAGGATTGCACACGGTGAAGTCCTAGGAAAATAATCAGGGCCAGAGTCCAGGCACAAAAGAATCCTGCTCAAAGTGCAGAGGTTTCACACATTTATTAGAAGAAGCAATAAACAAACATCTCCTAGGTATAAAATCTAAATGTTCTTTAGTCTTCATCCCAGACAGGAGAGTCACAGCATGAAGGGCAGATCTAAGTTCTTCTCACCAGTGCCGAAGTAGACGTAGCCGTATTGCTTGGTCATGGGGACATGGTAGAACGTCAGTCCCAGCCACAGCAGGCTCCGCAGCACCACCACTGTGCCTCCCTTCTCTAGCTGGACAGTCCAGGAGCCTGTGCGAAAGCATGTGCTCATGAGTCACTGCAAAGGAGAAAGAGGCAGCTGCAGCAAGCTGGCCCTAAGCTGGGGAGAGGAGCAGTGGGTTCTGCCTGACCAGTTAACAGTGCACAAGGCTGCACAGGGGTTTGTAGGGGAGACCAGAAACTTTGATGCCCTTGACATTCAGCATTACAGGCTACCATCGTTTACAGAGTTTGTGTCTAGTTCCACACAGTAGCATATTCCCATGGCTATGATGGTAATGTCATATATGTCACAGGAGGGGACCCCTGGCGCTCCAGACTTGTCTGCTTGATCCTTAGAAGAAGCTACAGCTATTCTTGGCTCCGTCTGAGCGGGCAGCAGTTACTCTGACAAGCTCTGCCACCCACGTGGCCTAGTTAATAGCTACAGAGCCAAGACTAGCTAGAGCAATCCTGCATAGGTTTGAAATTTCTTCTTAAAATAAACTTGTAGCATTAGTAGTGGGATGAAGAAGAAGGTGCTTTCCTGCTCCAGTGAAGACTGATTCCCCTGATGCAGTGACTGAGAAAAAGGAAGAAGAGATAGTGAAAAGCAGAGTATTTCCTATCTCAGAGAAATTTACAGAAAAGGTTAATTCTCTTCAGTCTATCTTGGCTCCACCATTGAAGAGGATGTGCATGTTAGGGGCAAAGGGATTAGTTCTGCATTAATTTTGTTTTGGCTCTGCAGAGGAGGTTCGGAGCCAGTGTGAAAATGCAATTTCTCCTGGATGCAAGGAGCTCTGAGCCGCTGAGTATTTGTTTTGCATCAGTCAGGACAGCCTGGGAACAGTGCTGGAGGGGAGGGGGCTGGGGCATCAGCTTCCATTCAATGCCAGAGGGCAAGGAGCTGCCAGGAGAAGAAAATACCAGCTGCAGCACCAAATCAGTAACACCTAGAGGCTACAATATAGGGAAAAAGATTCTTGCTGAACCTCCATCTAAAAGCAAAAAAAGCAGGCCCAAATAAAAGAAAATGCAGCGGGAGCTGTCAGGCTACCGCTGGCCTAGAGTCAAGCAGTCAGCCTGTCTGCACCCAAAGCCAAAATCTGCCAATTCCAGAGTACGCAGAAAGCCCATAATGTGTTGGGCCAGTTAGACAGTATTCATCCTTGTAGATAATTTTAGGCTCATCAATTTCTGCTATGACTCATGCTTACTCATGTCATGGTTAGCCTGGGGAAGGGCTTCTGTGATTGCTGTCAGCTGCCAGTGCTCCCCCTCCCACTAACTTCTGACTCTTGGCCAATTTTAGTCGCATCTGACCAAAGGGCTAAAGGGCTTTAACACCGCAAGTTCCTACGACAGGTTTCCACGGGACGTGGCCCAGGGCTTGACTGCAGCTCCTGCAGCTATTTGGTGTGCCGGCAGCTGCGAGGAAGCCCAGGCTGAGGGCTTGAGGGAGGAGGGAAGTTCAAATGTATATATGGCGGGCGCAGAATAGAAACACAGTTCGACGCCCTGTAAAACCAGGTGTTGCGAGTTCTGCTGCTCACCTGTTACCCATCTCTTCGCTTTGTATTTCTGTACTTTTCAAGTTTCTTGGACGCCCTTGTTTCCCTTGTCTCCTTCAGCAGCAAGTTACACAGGTTTGTTATACCATAATATGCACAACAGAAATCCTGTGTCATCTTTGATCATTTGAGGGTACATTTCAAAGTACCCTCTTCAGTTATGTGCAAACATGGAACTAAATGAACAGCAGGAACGGCTACCTTCTGTGACAGTCACTGAACTTTCTGATAAACTGACTGGCTTCAGGACAGGAGTACGGAGACATTCACAGTCTTTAAAGACTCGGGAGATTTCTGCACTGGAGAGCTGACTTCTGACTCATTCAGCTCCACGTTTCCACTAAAGACAAACAGCTGGAATCACAGTAAAGCAAAGCACTGTTTAATATAGGGCAGGATCAGCACAGGTGTGTGCCATCTTTTCACCTTCCTTGCACTGCAGCACCCTTTGTGCAGCTCCTAGTTAAAACATGAGCCAGCATCCTCCCAGGCAGCAGTTTCACATACAAGGCAACACTGATCTTCCATGCAGTCTCTCCAGTGCCATTCATACGGACATGAACTAGACTCGATCTTTGTCATATCTGGAGTAAAAACACATATTATGGTTCATGCACTGGGATTACAAATTCTGCCTGGGTCTCTGACAAAATCTGCATGTTCTTAAGAAACTCCACTACTTGAATAGCATGAAAACCCAGATGAAGAACACTTCCCTACAAGGCAGATCGTCCAGTGGCTGAAGCACTACAGCCATCTGCTGTCAAGGGACAAGCTTTCAAACAGTTTCTTGAACTTCGCCTCTACAAGTTTTCAGCATTTGCTAGTGGCAGTAGCTAGACTAGGGGTGGCAAGCAAATAGGTTTGAATGGAATAGTGACAAATAACTTTTTCCATTTCTCCTTTGAACACTGAACTGACTTTGCTTTCAGTGGAGGGTTCTTGCAGCTTGAATTTGCAGAAATTATCAGCAAGCCCTTCATCCAAATACTGGTGGTTCTTGCTGCAGCTTTACATGTTGGTTTGCAGGGGGGACTGTAAACTTTTGGAAGTTTCTCTGACAAAAAAATAATGGAATGCAAGTCTGTCAAGAACAGGACTGAGCCTTGGCTTGCTGGGTGGTGGAAAGCTTTTAGGGAATATCTAGTTTGGTGATGCCTCCCAACATACTGGAAGCATCCAGCAAACTGGGTACATGTGATAACTTGTATATTTATGTTCATGTACACAGGTGAACCATCTTCCCCAAACTATTTACAAAAAAAAAACTAAAAGAAATGCCTAGAGCATGACAAGTGGGAAAGGTGAGAGGGAACACAGGGATATTAATGCTCTCAGGAACTACATCTGGATTCAGACTTCATTTTGTTGGACAAATTTGCAGAGAAGGTAGAGCAAATAAAGTTCAACGTGATTAAATCCCCATATCTGTGCACTGGGGCAATACAGGGACCCATGATCACCTCAGAACACTTACCCTGTGTCACACAGGCTTATCAATCTCTGTGGACTATTTGTCAGCAGTTAACTCTACTGATCAAAGAAGCTTCCCATGCACCTTCACACCTGGCAGAAATGGACAGATGTAATTGAAGACAGCTCCATTCACTTTTATGCTAGATCTCTGAAGGCTGTGATGTGCAGCTGCTTCATTTCCCTACCATCTGCCCAACCTGCAAACTCTCAAAGGGCTCAAATTTGTCATTTCATAAATGTGAGACCTCTGGGGATTATTAAATTGTTATACTTTCCAGCTCGTCTCTGATCCGTGATTTTGCATCTAGTTCTATGCAAATATGGACAATAAAGTTTTGCTGCTGCTGCTGAAGTCTTCCTGTGCAATGAGGCCCTGACCAAAACAAGCAGGGTACCTAAGGGCAATCCCAACTGGACCAATGGGTTGAGTACGGGAAAAAATTATAAGAAACTGCCTGCAACTGTAATATCATTTTCACTCAGATCCTATTTTCAGCCAGAATGATGATTAGTCACAGATCTGCTCTTTATTCTGCAGTGACAAACAGCAGCAGCATTGACACCTTCCACCTTTGACTAACCAGATCACTGGGGACATTTTTCTAATCCAGATATCAAAGTTGATTTATTCAGTATACTTTTCCAGACTAGACTTTTGCAACACATAAAACCCATTCAGAAATGGCATTTGATACACAACGCTGGTGTCTGCCCTCTAAGAAGACATCACATTAAAGTTCTGGAACCTATCTGCTCCTTTTCTTTAAAGGAAGAAATTAGAGTCCATTATCTCAGTACTTGTTTTTTCCACGCCTTACCACATTAGCAGCATTTGAGGAAATGGTCTGAAAAAACAAAATTAATTTTTGAACTCATGAGACATGGAGAAAGTTGTTCTCCTTGAAAGATCCAAGACAATTATATTCTCTTCCATCACAGCTCAAATCTCACAATCTTCAAACAACAAGATGCTTTTTCAGACCCATCTTTCTGGTAGGAGTTTGAAATAATGATGTCATAAATCACTCTAAAAGTACTTTAATCAGTAGCTAATGAACAGTATGAAATAATAGCTTAAAATGAACATGCCTTCTTTCCTCCTTCAAGAGAAAGCCTTAGAAATGCACCTAATAATACAATATAAAAAGGGATCACGAGAATTATGAAAATTAAATGCTGCTTTTATCCTTTCTTTTTTCTTATTTTTTTTTAATTCCCTGCTATTACAAATGGTTTGTGGAGTAAAATCATTGCATAGCTGTAGGTCTGTATTACTGTAAAAATGCAGAAGCAGGTTCAAATCCTTTCTCACATTGGCTCAGAATATCCCGTGGCAGTCCCTGTGCTCATCACTGTCCCTGCGTCTGCCATGTCTCGTACTGAGAGGCTGGGAAGCTCAGACCTGTAAGGTACACCAAGACTCTAGATAAAAGTTGTTAGGGGAAAAAAATCTAAAAATTATTATTATTTGCATTGGAGGGAATACAACTAGAACTAGGAGACAGCAAGTAAAAGTTGTCTTTTAACTAGAGTTAAGTACTGATTTTAACTTGCAGCTGCGTGTGAGCTGTGGCCCGTATTGTCCCTAAATCAGAGTTAACTGCACTCATCATGCAATGCTCACTGAGGTGCAGGGAACTGGAGGTCATTGCTCTCACGCTAGGGATTTCTCACAGTAACACTGCTCTGGTGAGGTTTCCATTCTTCAAACTACATTTTTTTTTAAAAGATCAAGTTAATTCGTAAAGCTGCACCCAGCAAACCTAAGGAAGCCAAGCACTGTCTGTGCTGAAACTATTGCCTGTTGCTGCTCCAGAAGGGAAGGGAGGGAGCTGCTGTGTGGGAGGAAAGAGCATGGGAAAAATATCCGCTGGATGAAGATCTGGAGCTTCCTATTCCCTCTTTGGATCAGGCTGCAGCCTCCACCCCTCCAAACACAGGCAGGAATTCTGAGGAGTTCCTTACATCTTTCCCGAACAAGAAAGTGCTTTGAAGATCCTG